AGCTGGACCCTGGGGTGGGCTCCCTGAAGGGGTCCCCCATTTCTAGGGAGCTGCACTTTCCCACAGGGTTTGTGGAGCCGAGGCTCCGGGCCTCTTGGGGCCTCCCATCCCTGCCACGGACTTTTGGAGGGGGGTATGGGTTACGCCTCTGTGGGGGGCACTCCAGGATCTGTCGAGCGCCCTGCTCTCAATACCCAGGGTTCCTCCCCCAGACGGGTGGGGACGCCCCGCCAGGGAGGGTGCAGCTCCCCGGGTCCCAAGCGGGGACTCCGCGCTACAAGCCGCAGTTCCGCTAGGGGCGCATGTACCCGGCTTGGGGAGTGACTGGCCCAGGTGTGCGGGGGTTGGGGGTGAGGGTGGGTGGAGCCGGTGTCTCCTCGGGTCCCCACGGCCTGGGCAGCGGCCTAGGGCCAGTGGCGACCTGGCCGTTTTGAGCCAAGGACGCCAACTGGCTACCCGGGCGCGCTCAATGGCCGGGCCTTGAGGATTTTGCGCCCGAGCAAGAAACAACCCGAGCGCACCCACCACCCGCAGGCCTCAGGGGGCTGGGGGAGGGACAGCAAGGGGCCCCCCAGCTCTCCGAATCCTGCAGAGTCAGCTGAGGCGCCCTGAGGCCGGCCAGGCCATTTTATTGTGCTCTAAACCCAAGCCTGAGCCACTGACCACCACGGGAGATTACGGGAAATACTGGGAACATTGGAAACGCGGCGGGAAACCGTGACTCCGTGCGCCCGGCCCTCACCTTGCACCTGAAGTTCCGGGAGAGCCTGTGTCCCCACACCCCTCCGCCGCGGGGAGATGACGCGTCCTAAGCAGTATAAATTGAGTCAATATTAGTATTGACCCAGGGCGACGCGTTTCCCCTTCTGGAGATGAGAGCCTCGTGGATGCTGAGTGCGGCTGGCCCTCTCCCGGGCCTCCATTTGGGAGGCTGAGGTTGGCGAAGCCACTGGCTTCTCTCCGCTCTTTGGACTGCTGGTTTGGAGACCAAAAGGGGCTCTGGCACCGCGCTCACCCTGACGCCCCGGGTCACCGTGTCCTGTCCACTCCAATCTCCGGTGGGCCCAGATGCTCGTGTCTGGTCGGGCGCTTCCAGGTCCGGAAAGGGGCCGACGGAATGGGCTGGGCTCGGGGGCGCGGTACCGGGGGTTGGGGGTGGGATT